AAGGTCCAAACTCCGTCATCATAGTGCTGCCGTGCAAGTTCCAATTGGCTTAGAAGAGGACTTTCAGGGTCTTATTGATCTTGTTCAATTAAAAGCCTATTATTTTCATGGCTCCAATGGGTTCGTTTCATAAACTTTGGGCATGGTGCATTTTGTGTTTTCTTTATCCTGTAATTCATTTTCCTTCTCTCTGGCTTGTTGCTTACTGCAGTGAAAATGTTGTAACTGGTGAAATACCTGCCAATATGGAGGCAATGGTTGCAGAAAAGAGGCGAGAACTAATAGAAATGGTTTCTGAAGTTGATGACAGACTTGCCGAGGCGTTTCTCAATGATGAACCTATATCAGCTGCTGACCTAGAGGTGTGTTGGCAACAATGTCTATCCTTTTTGTTTTCTTTCAAAAAAAAGGGTCCATTCTTGTTGCAATGAGATATTAAGAAAGTTGTGAACTTATCTACAGGAATAACAATAATTTTAGCACTGGCTAGGAGAATTTGTCTCAATTTACAATTCTTCTTGTCCCAAGAATTGGCACTGTTTGTGTATGATATCATACTACAATTATCACTAGCTGTATCTATTAGGTGGTATCTCATGCTTGGTAGGAAATTACTTAGGTCTCAAATGTTAAAATGCGATATCAGCTAAAAATAAACGCATTAACGTAAAGTTTCCACTTGGGTCATTATGCACTATTGTGTCTAAGGTTGTTTTTCTTATCATTATATTTATATCCTTTATAGAGTTGCTTTGGAAAGCAATTTGTATTAGCTTTTCTTTTTTTTATTCTTTCCTGAGCTTATAAGGTAGTTTTGGAAGAAACTGCACAAGTATTTTGTAAGTTCTTCTGATTCAGAAGCCCCTGGCATAAAACATAATAAGCTAACTTAGCTAAGTTTTTACCATAGTACACTTTGACAATTAAAAAAAATGTAATTCATCGAGAGTTTAGAAGCTAAAAAAAGGTCAATCCAAATGATCAAAAGTACAATTGTCTTTTTCCTGTAGTCTTTACTGGTTTCTTGTTTTTCTTTTGAAGTGCTTGCATGTTATGCTATAGAATTCTGGATTTGACTCTTTGAGGTTTTCTTTTCTGGTTGCAGGAAGCAGTTCGCAGGGCCACTATAGCACGGAAATTTGTGCCAGTATTCATGGGGAGTGCATTTAAAAACAAGGTATTTTTTTTAATTAGGAAAACATATGAGCCAAGTTATTAATGTATTCCAGGTCCAGGTTTTAGACATGTTTTTAGGTGATTGCCTTGTTTTAATTTTTAAGTCCTTTTTAATGATTCAGGTTCATTCTCTTCTAAAATTTTCTTTATGTGTAGTAGTTCTTGTTGATGATGGTGTAGCTGGAATTCTTTTCCTTATCTTGTGATTTCCGGATATGATATGAAGTGATTGCCCTAAATTATCTAGAATAAAATTTTCCATTATAATATTTTTATGTTTGTCTTCTGTGAACCACAGGGAGTACAGCCACTTCTGGATGGAGTCCTTAGTTACTTACCTTGTCCGACTGAAGTCGGTAATTATGCTCTTGACCAAACAAAGGATGAAGAGAAGGTGCTTAGCTGATGCACATTATACTGATCTTTTTTTTTCTTCAGCTTAAAAGAAGATAAGATTGTGTTAATGGTTAATGTCTGGTGTAGGTCATGTTACCTGGAACTCCAGATGGACCTCTCGTGGCATTAGCGTTCAAATTGGAGGAAGGGCGTTTTGGTCAGCTGACATACTTAAGGTATGGCAGACAGGTTCTTTTTACCCTTTTTTGTTGCTAAGTTTGCATTTTAGACCCTATATCTAAGTTTTTGGTTCATATTTTGAGCTAATTGCCTTTTTTTTTGGTGATGAAGAATCTATGAGGGTGTTATCAAGAAGGGTGATTTTATAATAAATGTAAACACGGGCAAGAAGATAAAGGTCAGTTCAAGGCTTTCATTATAAGTTCTTTTTGCTTTTCGGTGAAATTCTCTCTCTTTTCCATGTCATCCTATGAGTCAAATATCGGCACCATTTTTATTTGTTCTTAATTAGTTGCTTCTTCAATATGTCTATCTTATTTGGTATAATGGAAAATACTTCTAAGATGCAAAATATCATTCGAGTTAGCTTTAATGGAAGATTCTACTTGAAGTTTTTTTTTTTCTTGTTTTTTTTTTTGTCTGAGCTTGGGAAAATTTTTCCAGCAAAATCTGCGAAGTGTTGAGCAAATATGATTACTTTCGGGATTATCTAGTGACTGTAAATTATGAAAATTTTAGAATGTCTTTGAATGTGATTCAGGTCTATTCAATTTGATGAGAAGCATTAGAGCAATTTCCTCAGACAGCTGAATTGAGAAAAATAAATAATTAATTGATTAATGAAATTGGTTGAGTTGCTAGGTTCATAATTTTATAGCACTTAAGAAGGAGAATGTAAGCACAGCTCAGGAAAAGAAAATTCTTCTTTTTTCCTTGTGGGCTGGCTGACAATCTGACATAGTTTTGTTTTAAATGAATATTCTAAGGCCCTTTAATAAACTTTATACAGGTCCCTCGTTTGGTTCGTATGCATTCTAATGAGATGGAGGTTAGTCTTTGCATGATGCTCATGTTAATATTTTGAATATTTTCTGATGGATGACTGAGTTCCATTTGAGCTTCATTTCTCAAGGACAGTTTAGTTGATGTCGTGCCTTTTTGGGGAATTTTGTGATCAACAGGACATTCAAGAGGCCCATGCTGGGCAAATTGTTGCTGTATTTGGTGTAGATTGCGCATCAGTTACCCTCCTTTTTTTTTGTATACATTCACAACATGAGCACCAGGACTTTACTTTCTTTATCTTCTCTTCTACTTTTCTTTTTAGAATTCTAGTGATCACATGATAGGCATAAGGATATAAGTGAGGAACTGGTAAGTTAGGGAAATGGTATGGAGAGAGTTGGTAAGTAAAATGGCCTCCTTTCCGCGATATAATCTACATCTTGTTAGATGTTTTGGGGGAGTTTTGATGCTTCCAACTATCTTTAGTAGGGAGGATAAGGCTTTTGCCTTCCTGGAATTTCCTAAATATCTCTTCTGATATCAGGGGATACATTTACCGATGGTTCAGTTAAATACACGATGACTTCTATGAACGTCCCTGAACCAGTTATGTCACTAGCTGTTCAACCAGTTTCAAAAGATTCTGGAGGGCAAGTAAGTAGTTTCTTGAGATATGCTACACGTGCATACCTTATATGCATATCAGGCATCTGATTATTCTCAATTAAAATTTGGCTTTGAGGAAATGATAATGACCACATATTTTGTTGTCATAGTTCTCAAAAGCATTGAATCGTTTCCAGAAAGAGGATCCTACTTTCCGTGTCGGCTTGGATCCTGAGAGTGGACAGGTATACCTGTTAAATTTGTTTCTTTCCTCTTTTACTTTCCCTTTTTCTCCTCTTAGAAAAGTAAGCAACCATTTCTTATTCTAGTTAAATATTTTTGGGATAGACAATTATTTCAGGCATGGGAGAACTACATTTGGACATATATGTTGAACGCATCCGGAGAGAATACAAAGTAAGCCCTCCCCCAATATTTTTTTGTTAATGCACAAAAGATTAAAGATATATATTCTAGACCGATTGACAACTACAATAAGCGAGTTTCACTATGTATCTTCCTTATTAGGTCGATGCAACTGTTGGAAAACCTCGTGTGAATTTCAGAGAGACAGTTACTCAACGTGCTGACTTTGATTATTTACATAAGAAGCAAACTGGTGGACAGGGTCAATATGGACGAGTATGTGGGTAGGTACAAATGCAGGTTGACGCTGTTTCTGCACTTAATTGCTGTGGCAATTACTGCATGGACAAGTGGGAAGATTTGCTGGTGTGTGAAGTGGTATAATGGTGCTATTTCCCCCTTGCTTATATAACTTTCTCTGTTTTCTTAGGTATGTTGAACCGCTTCCGCCAGATTCACCCATTAAGTTTGAATTTGAGAACATGATTGTTGGACAAGCTATACCATCAAATTTTATCCCAGCAATTGAAAAGGGTTTTAAAGAAGCTGCAAATTCGTATGTACTGTAAATCTGTCTTTCTTTAATTCTTCCTCCATGAAAAAAATTCCGTAGTTGTGAATTGATTTTTGGTTCATTCTGCAGATCATGTTAGCTTGTCATGTTTGTTGGTTTTTGTTTTTTTGTATTTTGTTTTGTGGTTAAATCGGTTTGACATATCTTTGCATTCTTGCATTTTTCAGGGGTTCATTAATTGGACATCCAGTCGAAAATGTTCGTATTGTTTTGACAGATGGTGCTTCACATGCTGTGGATTCCAGTGAACTTGCATTTAAGTTAGCTGCAATATATGCTTTTAGACAGGTGTAATATTGCTTCTTTTTTTTATACTTTCACCTAAATATTGGATTTTCTTATTTATATTTGTAAAACAGTGCTATGCAGCTGCTAGACCTGTGATATTGGAACCAATTATGCTGGTTGAGCTGAAAGTGCCAACAGAATTTCAGGGTACCGTTGCCGGTGATATCAACAAGTGAGTGTTCCTTACCTATACTTTCTATTAGAAAACTACAATGACTACCTCAACTATTTGATCTGAAGGTACATGTATGTCAACTTTATTGCAGGCGGAAAGGTGTGATTGTTGGAAATGACCAAGAGGGAGATGACTCTGTAATGACTGCCCATGTAAGCATTACTTGGTTCTTCTGTGTAAGCTTTACTTCCATTAGCCACACTGTTTTGGCAGACACTGAAGCTGGTGTGATTTCCCTGGCTTTTCAGGTTCCCTTGAATAACATGTTTGGGTACTCAACCGCCCTTCGTTCAATGACACAGGTATATCGTATGTACAAAGTGTAAAATTTTCTGCTGATCCTTATTTACTTTATATATGTAAAATTCAATCTTGTTATGGATACAGGGGAAAGGTGAATTTACGATGGAGTATAAGGAGCATTCAGCAGTTTCTCAGGATGTACAGATGCAATTGGTAAACACTTACAAAGCCAGCAAGGGAGCTGAATAGTTGAAATTGCTAACTGAAGACCCAAGGTAGCCTGTGTACTTCATCATTGTAGTAATATTCTTTATTGATAGATGTATGTGTATCTTTCAATTATATTTATTTAGGTGATGAACTTCATCGGAAGTCATCAAAAAATTTTGAGATATAGAATAAACCCAAATCCCGCCATGACTTCGGCTAACAAGTATTACCATTAGGCTTTTTTCATTATTTTTACTTTTGCATGGGAAGTACTGACATAATTTTGCTCTTGATTAATAAATACATGTACGTGAGCTTTGTTCATTTGTGAATTGTTATAATATGCAGATGTGCAAGTGAGTCATATCTGCTTGAAAAACTGGAATGCCTGGTGTTTCTTGTTGGAACGTACATCAAAGTAGTAAACGTTGGAGTTAACAATAGTAAATATTGATATTTGCAAATTTCAATACAAATATTGGTGTTAATATTTTTTAAAAAGAATTATGTAATAATTATTTTTAAGAATTTTTTTTTTCAGTTCTTAATCCTAAGAGTTTTATGTTTTTAAATTATTATATTTTCTCCTCTATCTTTAAACAAACATGACAGCTTCACATTGTTTCCTTGTCTGGTGAAATTTTCTGGCTTTTTATTTTTAATTTTTCTATTTATTTTTATTATTTTTACTTGGTTTGTTCTTTTATGTCTTACTAAATTTTGTTATATTAAAGGAGGTACCTTTTTTTTTCCTTTTCAATTCCTATTGTTTTGTTTTATTTGTTTTATCATATTGTTTTCATTTATTATTTTTTTCTCTAATACTAAAATTCAATACCCTCTAAATGAAAAAGTTAGGCCTGATCCACGATCTTATTTTTTCCCCTTTTTCCCAAAAAAAAAAAAAAAACAAATCCATGTATTTAATTAATTCTTCCTTCAATTTTTTTAATTTTCTTTTAACGTTAATTAGTTTGTTATATGATTGAAATACATATTTATTGGTTAAACCAGCATCTTATTATTTTTCTAAAATAAAATATATAATTCACTTCATAACTTTTATTCTCCTCTTAATTAAAGTATTAACTCCTTTCTTTTATTTTTGACAAAGAATGTTATGATTTGTGTTCTTCATTACCAATAGGAGTTCGGAATTTATGTAATAATCTGTAATGAAATATACATTATTTTCATGTCTCTGAGAGACAAAATCAGTCCATGTTAGATGGAGAGACCTCCCTACAGCTGCAAATAGTGGCAGTAAAAGATGAAGAATTCTCAAAGCTTTATTCCTATCCTTTTATAAAACTCAGAAAATGGACAAACAGATAACTCTGATCAATCCACATCACTCAAGAAGTTAAAGGAGAATTATAAATGTAAATGACAAGCCGATAAAATGTTAAGATTCTCCATTGTGATCTACTTAAAAACTTTTGTAAGGCAATTGTGATAACAAGTAATATTTTCAAGTAATGAAATCTATGTTTTATAATTTTAACCCAATAATTTATCTTTGTTCATTTTTATATTAGAAAGTCAATTTTGATTTTTATTTTATATAAGTTCTTTATATATTACGTTACATTAAAAAGTATATATTTTATTTAAGTTAAAATGTAATTTAATGGTCACTTTTAACCATTTCAGTTCCTTTACTACTAATAATTTATGCTAATTTAAGCTTGAAATACATTGTGCCCTTTGTCTTTCTTGCAGGAAGTACAGTTCTCAAAATACTTAAAACTATATGATTAATTCCAGACATTAAAGTTCCTTGACAAATACAATTTTATTCAATTATTTATAAATTAATCCAGAAATACAAATGCTGTAAATTATGCGAATACTGCCCAGATCCCAAACAAACCTATGTTCTACCTTCCTCCAGAAAAGCCTATTTAGTGGGAGCTGTATAAAATTATTAGCTCCAGATCAATTGCAGCTAGTTAAATGCTTCTCGAAGTTTTGTGGGTAGCTCCAGATCAGGTTCAAATACACTGAGGGGAGAGAAATACTGATCTACCATGTCTTCTGATACTTGCTCCAGGGTTGGAGGATTCCACTGCAAATTTTGGATTCATGTGCACACAACTTAATAATGGCAAGCTTTCAATGTTGCCACCAGAGAATTCGGTAATGAAAACCAAATTATTCAAGTTTATATCACGTTTTAAACATATAAAAACTATAATCTATATGCAAATTCACATATTTATGACTAGATTGCATGTAAAAATTTTAATTCATAAATAAATTTAGGACTTTTTCATAAAATACATTTAAAATATCTTAGTTGGATTATCAGATGACATCTTTTTGCTTTGCAAGAAATAATTATACCTTTGGTGCATGGTTCTTGTCCAACATTCGGGCACGAACCCCCTATGAAAAGATTATAGACTATAATTTAGTGGCTGCATCAAGAGTCAATTCAGTATTTTAAAAATCGAAAGGTTGTTATGTACCTCACAAAAGTCAGCTGAAACTTTTTTAGATATCCCTTGCAGGGACATTCTGTATTCACGAGCCAAGCACTGGTCAAGGGTTTGGAATCGGCCTTCTCGTATCTGATCCAACCAGCATGTTAGGTATATCATAATTACCATTTAAGTTATATGAATAAAAAAAATAAAATAACATTCAAGCATGAGCACGCAGGGAACTCACAGATCTCAAAGAAACCTTCAAGCTCAAAGGTGAGACTTCTTTAAGCCTTCTCAAGGTGGAACTGCACCATGCATCATTTGTTTCAATCCTATAGCTTTCCTGAATGAATAGGTTATTTAGAATATAAATTAAATCTCATAATTGAGACTTCAGCACAGTTAATGGAATATATCTCTCCTCTTTCGCCCAACCTTTCAACTGCATCACAACGGGGGGAAAAAATTGCAAATTGACCAATCCCAAATTATAAATGAGCCTTACTCCTTTTATTGGCCCCTGATATTTATCTCCTTGATAATGGGCTGGGTAGTCAATGTTCATATTATTACACTCCTAACTGGAACAGAAAAAGGGGCCGCGTATAATTCATATAAATCAGCAAATGCTTACCAAGTTTTCAATAATTTCTTCAACTGTTTCATGGCTGAAACATCTATCAACCATTTCAATCCTAGACCAAAAAAAGAAAAACAAATAAGGAAACAAGATGGTTAAAAACAATACAACTATATCAGTCACGTCCAATTTGATAGGAGGTAGCAATGATAAAATATAAGGACAAGTGCTCATTTTCAACAAAGTTGAGTGCTATAACATCTCTAAAGGATAGCAAACCTGTGAAGCACACTTGTCCTTTCTGGATAGCAAAGTTCACCATATTTTTCTAAAGTAGCTTCAATTACAGAAGGATCATCGGTGACCAATTTCCCTAGCTGCTCTTCAATTAACGGAAGCCTCTATATGGAAGCAAATGTTCTTTGTCATGAAAATAAGAAAAACTTGCAAATTTGCAATTTGAAAAAACGAACAAATAAATCTGGTCAACAGAACTAACTTCAGTGTGCACGTAGTGTGTGGCAAGTCCACAAGCAATCATTTCTGCTCCATCGAATTTTTCTCCCGTTAGAGCCAAGTATTCCCCTGTGAATACAATAATAAAAAATGCAAAATTGACACTGAAAAACAAATGATGAAATCTGGGGTTGCATTTGTCATCCACACTAACCCTACATTTTCTGGCATTAAACAGGAAGAACAAGAGGGCCAGAGAAGAGGAAAATGGGGGAAAAAAAAAGATAAGAATCGGGGAATTTTTTTCTCAAGTTTTTGGTCTTCACAAAATTTCGAAGATCACTACTCTCCAATAAAACTTTTAGTCTACTTCATAAATGGCAGAACAGATCTAGTATTGCAGCATTCCAGCTGGAGAACTAGTCTACTTCAAAGTAGTTAGCAGCAGCATGACAGTCTCGCAAAGGATATGATTGTGTCCTTGTGATATTTGCCAGCAGTATATTATGCTTCCAAATGAGACTAACTGGCCACATAACTACAATTAGCTACCTCGAGACCTTGACATATGTGTAATGAAGTTTACAGGGTTGACCACCATTTTCCAGCTTCTTAATAAAACAGGAAACTTTTATGTTACTTCTACGGGCCTTCTGCTTGCAAAAGTTCACGCTAAAACTCATTGGGTAAAGAAAAACAAAGAAAATTGAGTCCCCTCAACAAGGACAGGTAGGTGTCTTGTATGAGAAAATATTCTCATCTGAGAGTTTAAAAAGTGACCAATAGGACAAAAAGATAAAATTATAAAACGTACCACCACATGCATACCTAAGTGGCCAGGTAGATGAGAGAGATAAAAAGAAGCACCAGCATCAGGATGGAAACCAATTAAAGTTTCAGGAGTAGCAAAAACCTGCAATTTATAAGAAACTGAATTGAAACAAGGAGTGACACAAAATCTATATGTAGTTAAGCCAGTAAATAATCAGTTATGCATAAGTCATAGGACAATAAGATTTATATAAAATGCAATTAAGAAAGAGATAGTAACCCTATTAACAATAAGCAACCATATCCTCTCTTTTCCTTCTTTAAAGAAGGATTAATTGTTTAGAAAACAGAGCAGAAGATATGATTACAAAACTCTAACAACAGGGAAAGGATGATTTGTTACCCACAGTTCTACCAGTTGCAAGACGAAATGTTCCAGGTATTGAAACTCCGGCCCCACCGCCCATTGTAATGCCATTAAGAATAGCCACCTAGATGAAGATTAAATATATTGTCTCATGACAATCCTTAGGATTGAATTATTAATTAGTTCTGCAAAATGGTATTTATAATACTATACCATGATTTCTAAACACCATTCTGGCAACAGTGTAAAAGAGAGAGAAAAACTGCAACTGTTGTGTAGTACCACTGTCAGTGAATTACTAGGATTTAATTAACATACTCTTAGAATTTACATAGGACCAGCTTCAACAAGTACTAGAAAATTCCAAGAATGGCTAACCCTCAAACTCTTATTTAGGTCTTTTACCTCCTTGCAACGCACCCATCTATCATAGGTGGTGCCAAGGTCAAAGAACAATCGTACTTCTCAAAACATGCCAATAGATCCAGATCCCCAACTCACTGGAATTAGTCATGGATGTACCTGTAATTCTAAAAACAAAACTTACAAACTTAGTGCTACCCATAATAACAGAGATTCCCAATATTCTGGCACCCACGATTTTTGCAAGCTAAGAATTGAGGAACAACTTATGTGAAGTTTGTCCAAAATTGATATGTCCTTAATATCATACCAAGACAGGAACAGATACAGTTCAAACTTTTCAGGAGAAGAATAAACTTATAAGATCATATTTTATTAAATTTCCAACCAACAAATTAAATTGAATTTATATTTTACACCATTAAAGAAATAAAGAATACTTACATGTGGCTTCAAATATGTACCTAGAAGGTATATGAACCTATACAATGTCCTGAAGAATTCCTTACAAGCATCAAGTTTTCCTATATCAAGTTAATCAAAAGGATTAAAATATTATCTAATACCAAGCATTAATAAATAAACTAAGTTGCAACAAGGTCCTAACAACATTAACTAAAGAAACTGAGAGGTAAAAGGAACATTATAAACTAAAGAAATGAGCAAATGCTCTTGGGATAAAGAATATGAAAAGGTAATACAAGGTTCTTAATTAACCACATAAAGACGATATGTTAGAAAGATAGAACAAAAGATTTAAAACTCATTAGGTTTAGCCTCATATAATCCCACTGCTAGACAAAAATCTGATAAATTTATCATTCTGTTTCATCAGCCATGCTACAAACTATCGGCAATTATATCCTAGTAAATTTGACTGCATTTATTCCGATGCAATGAAGATAACTAAAATGCCATATCTTACTACGTGGACCTTTTAATTCAGTTTTTATTCTATTCCTTCAACTGAATTACCTACGACCTAGCATGTAATTACAATTTTTATATATTCATTATTGTAGTCCTATAGTGAGTTCCATGGTAACTTCTATTCCTTGCTTGGTAGCTAAGAATACAAATTTACCTAACTTGACTCCGAAAATGAAATCAAAATAGGATATAATATCAAAAGTCCTTAAGGTTTGAGTATGCATATAATATCGAAAGTCCTTAAGGTCTGAGCATGTATATAATATCGAAAGTCCTTAAGGTCTGAGTATGATTACAACCAGACCAAAATTCTGAAAAATAACAACTAGTCCTTCCATAATTTTACTGTTGCGAAAATTGTTGGGGAAAAACTATAATAGGTTCTTCCTACTCTCTTAATACTGGTTCTTTTTACTGTATTAGTTAAAAGAAAAAAAGAAAAACATAATTCCTTTCATGTTTTCTGAAACATAATCGCTTGTACTGTTATTTTTATTATTTATCAGTAAGCGAACTTTTACATGATACAGATCAAACCATTATTTTCTTGTTAATATTGAACAAAATTAGCCTTAGAACCCATGGTTTCAGCTCATAATTTCTACATATAGCTCAGACAATACAAATAAACTGTATAGAATCTCATTTCTCTCTCTAGCTCATGGTAAAAGACCATACTTTTATCAGGAAAGCACAGAACAAAGTCTTTTAATCATAACAGTAGATTAAGTAAAAATGGCATAGGATAGCCATAACATATGCCCATACATATAGCACTCACCTTCGTTTATCAAATGATATAAGGTGACAATATCTCCACCAGCACAAAATGCCCTGCCACTGCCCTTCAAATGCAAAATAACTTTTGAGTAGTTTTAATGTACTCCACGCGACAATTAAACCTTTCCCACCCCCAAACCCCACGCACAAATTTCTTTTTTCTTTTTTTTCTTTCTTTTAAGGCTTTTAACATAAAACCAAGAAAATGTAGCATAAAATTACTTACCTTCATAATCACAAAACCAATATCAGGATCATCTTCCCAATTAGAGTACAGTTTATTCAACCTAGTCCCCTGGAGTAACAAACAGAAAGCCCAAAAAAATACAAGACCCGTGTAAAGAAGTCTTCAGATAAAGTGAACAACAAATCCGGCAAACAAGATAAAATAACAGATTTATGAAATGAGCAGTTATATTCCATTATCGTGAGATACATGACAATGAAAGCAAAACCATGCGAATAACAAGTAGAGAGAAAAAGAGAAAAAAGAAACCATATAAGTATTGAGAGCATTGAGAAAAGCTGGTCTGTTGAGAATTGCAGTCCGTGAAGCCGGTTTTCCTTCCACGAGAACCTAGAGTATAGCACTACGTGTGAGCTCAAAACCGATTAACAACAGAAAAATGAACGAGAAGGAAAAAGAGGAGGAGATTAGAGAAGTTAGTAACTTGATCGTCGAGATCATTGACAGGGCCGTTGATTGAAAGAGAACAAAGACTGCGTTTGTTGTTGAATCGCCATAAACTATTACGATAACGCCTTAGTATACTCTGCATCCTCCTATACTGTAACTTTTCTTCTTCGAGGGCGCTCCAATTTTATCAGCATGAAGAAATTTTTTTAAAAAAAAAAATTGAACCGGGTTCTCTTGTTGAAGCCGAGTTAGTTTTTCTTTTGGAACTACCCGTTGATTTTGATAATAATCACCATTTAATTTCTGTATAAACTGGAAATTAATGGTTGAAGAGAAAAGAAGAAATTGCAGACCTGAGAGAAGAGGAGAGCTTGGGTGTTTGAAAATGAGAAGATGATTTTATGGAAGAATAGCGGTATTTATACAAAAAAAGTAAATGATAAATTTAACACTAACTTTGTTCATAATTACAATTATATCCATAACTATATATTCTAATAACTCCCTTCAAGCTGGAGTATACAAATTCTGTATACCAAGCTTGACAATAAGGTTCTGAAATTGAGAAGAGGGAAGCACATTTGTGAAACAATCTACAAGTTGATATGAAGAAGAAATTGGTAACAAGCGGATGAGACCTTCTGAATTTTTTTATTGAATGACATGACAATCAATTTCAATTTGCATGATGTGTTCATGAAATACAAGATTTTATGCAATCATAATAGCTGACAAGTTGTCACAATACAAAAGCAGTAGTTGGAGAAGTAATACGCAGGTTAGCAAGTAGAAAAGATAACCATTATATCTCACAAGTAACCATGGCTAAAACTCGATATTCAGTCTTAGAAGAAGGCTGAGAAACAGTGGATTATTTTTTAGTTTTCCAATAAATAAGAGAATCACTAAGAAATGTACAAAATTCCGTAAGAGATTTACGAGAATCTACACAAAAGACCCAATCAGAATCACTAAAAGGCTTAAGATGTAATGAAGTATGAGCTGAATAAAAGATTCCCTGTCCTGATGTTCCCTTCAAATACCTCAAGACCCGATGTGTAGCTTGTAAATGAATCTTAGTAGGGGTATCAAGAAACTGTGAGAGTTGTTGAACTGAATAGCTAATATCAGGGCAAGTGTTGGTGAGATATAAAAGTTTACCAATAAGCTTCCTGTATGAGGTAACATCAACAATTGGGGAACCATAATGTTGAACTAACTTTATTGACGAAGCCATGGGCGATGAGGCCGGTTTACAACCTAAGAAAGTAATATCTCGAAGTAAATCCAAAGTATATTTTCTTTTATTCACATTAATACCTTTGGAAGAACGAATGACCTCCAGTCCCAGAATATTTGAGTTCACCAAGATATTAATTTTGAATTCATTATGAAGAAAATCCTTCATCATCTGAATTTCAACCATGCAATCACTTGCCAATATCACATCATCAACATATACAGAAGAGCAATAAAAGAAGATTTTGAACACCAAAGAAATAATGAAGAATCTGAATAGGATTGCACAAAACCAAATTTTCTTAAGGCTTCAGTCAACTTGAAATGCCATTGCCTACTTGCTTATTTAAGACCATAAAGACTCTTAGTAAGCCTGCCTACTTGATTACCCGAACCATGAAAGCTAGGAGGTAGAGTCATGTACATTTCTTCATATAAATCACCATGAAGAAACGTATTATTAATATCAAGTTGATGTAAATGTCATCCTTTAACCGTAGCCATAACCAACATAGTACGAATGGTCGTTAACTTTGTAACTGGAGAAAAAGTATATAAAAAATCAAAACTAGATTGTTGAGTATAACTTTTAGCAACCAACTTGGCCTTATATCTATCAATCGAGCCATCAGCTTTTCTTTTTATCTTATATACCCACTTGCAACCAATGAGTTTCTTACCATAAGGTATATCAACTAATTCCCAAGTCTTATTCTTTTCTAGGGCCTTAATTTTAACTAGCATAGCATCTTTCCAGCATGTAAATTAAACTGTTTGGTTGTAGGAGTTAAGTTCTACATCTTGGGATATAACAAATACAAAAGGCTTATGTACTAAGTCCAAGTTGTTGCAAGAGAGTACATGTGAAATACAATGTGGGGTAGAAATAGAATTAATGCAAGTCTAAGACCATATAGAGAGTAATCATGTAAATGAATTGGTTGCTTTGTGTGTCTAGTAGATTGCCTTGTTTGTAAAGGAATAGGTTCATCATACATGGGTTTTGTGGAGCTGAAATTTTTTGAACAAGTAGGCTCTATTTCGGGAACATCTAATGATAAAGATGTAGAAGGAATAAAAGTATCAGTTGAGAAAGGTAAGGAAATGTTACCAGAAGAAGTTGGCTCGCTGGAATGGCTTTAGACTGCATTACCTTGATCCCGTACAGGTTGAATTAAGTCATTGTTTTCTGCTATCAAATCATCAACACAAAGAAGCACAAAATTATTTGAACTGTTATTGACAGAAGAGAGAAAATGAAAAATATGCTCAACAAAATAGACATCCTAGGAAATAAAGATCTTTTTAGATTGTAGATCATATACTCTATACCCCTTTATACGTGAAGGAAAACCAAGAAAAACACATTTAAATGATCTATGATCAAAATTAGACTTGTCAAGACTAAGGAAAATGGAAAATAAGGTTGGATACGTAACATAAACATCCAAACACTTTCAAATGTTAACATTTGAGGAATGAATGAAATAAAAGTTCAAAAGGAGACTTATTGTTGATGACTGGAGATGGGAACAGATTGATCAAATAAGTTGCATGTCGCACACAATCAACCCAAAATTGTTTTGGTAGATGAGCCTGAAACATCAAAGATCTTGCCACATTTAAAATATATTGATGTTTTCTTTCAACCAAACCATTTTGCTGTGGTGTATATGGGCAAGAACATTGGTGCACCACTCCTTTAGCGGCAAAGAAATCATTGATCTTAAATTCTTGACCATTATTGGCACATTTGATTTTTGCATTGTGTTGGGTTTCAACATATGCAAAAAATTGAATAATGATTGTTCTGACTTCTCCTTTTATCTTCATAGGATACAACCATGTGTATCGACTCTTATCATCAACAATGGTGAGAAAATAATGATGATCATATAAAGAAGAAACATATAAAGGACCCCAAATATTAATATGTACAATATCAAAGCAAGATTTACTCATAAAAAATGAGAGTCTTCTTTGTTTAACAAGATGACATATGTCACAAAAAAAGGAAGTACAAGAAGAAATTGATTTGTCTAATTGATGAATTGTATGAAGTCTTGGTGTGGAAGGGTGACCAAGACGATAATGCCAAAGGTTATGAGTGTTAACAACATTATTACAATGAAAAGAACTAGAGTTTGCAAAGGAACAATCAAAGGAACATGACTTTATAGCATTGACAGTGTTTGCTGGTTTTGTATTTGCTGCCTTAAGGTAATATAATCCTTGCCTCTCTTTAGGTAAACCAATCCTCTCCTTGGTTTGTGCATCCTGGATTTCACAAAAAAGATCATGAAAGATTACACAATAAGAGGAATCAGCTAACAATCTACTTACAAAAATTAAATTGAGGGCAAAGTTTGATATGTATAGTGTAATATAAAGGGTTAACATAAGCGAAATGTACACATCGCCTATGTAGGTAATAGGAATTGTTTGAGAGTTAGGTAATTTTACAAACATATTGGTCGTTGGTCTACATAAAGTAAACGCTTCTACTGAAATAACTACATGGTCCATAACTCCTGAACCAATTATCCATTCATTCAGTGAAGTTTGGGTAAGGTAGAGGCAATACATGGTGAAGTCTGAAAATTTACAGAAAGTGTATTAACTTGTGGTGCTAGATTTTTGTTTGGTACAAGTGCTTGAGGTTGAATCAAAGCTAATAGTTGCTGGCATTGTTTTTTAGTAAAAGGGAAAGACATGCTCTCTGAAATTTGACCTTGAGAATTGAGCAACACTTGTGAATTTTTGAACTCTGAATTTGTATCCAGTGCATGAGAACTAATTTGATTGATGTTGGACACAATTTTCTGTCATGGTTTATAACGAGGTGGATATCCATGCTTTTTGTAACATTTGTCTACTATGTGACCAATAAACCCATAGTGAGTACGAGTAGGCCGCTTATTATTGATTCCACTAGTCTTCCTCAAATTTCCTGGATTGTAAATATTCACTGCATTTTGTTGAGATTCAGAAGTTTTATTGGTATTAAAAATGTTCAACTCATACTGTTATGAGTATACTCCAATATCAAGGCTGTTTTCATACTAAATTACCAAGGCAAATACCTTGTTCAAGGATGGTAATGATTCTATAAGCAATATTTGTAATCTAACAACATTAAAGGATTCATTCAATCCTTTGAGAAATTTTATAATTATGTCTTCTTTATAGTATCTTCTACTTACACATTCCAATTGATATTCATAAGTAGGCCGCGTGTTGGACTATTCGTCCCACAAAATTTTTAGCTGAGTGAAGTACTTCGTGACTGAATTATTTCCTTATTTCAGAGAGTTGATTTCATCAAATAAATTTGAAATCCTAATCAAATCACTTTGTGCATACCGGTCAGATAAATCCTTCCAAAGACCCTTATCAGAGTCAATCCACATAATACTTTAAGCTATTGAGGGAGATACAGACCTTATAATCCATGACAGAATGAGAGTATTACATCTCTTCCATGCTTTTTACAGAGGATCGTCTTTGTTTGGAACAAGAATCGATCCATCTATGAAGCCTTCCTTATTCTCGTAAGTCAATGCTAATCTTACAGAGCGAGACCATGAATGGTAGTTCTTACTTGTAAGGATATTAGTGGTGAGCTGGCTTACTGGATTCTCGTTTGGATGAAAGATAATATGGACTTGACACGGATTCTTCTTGCTTTGACAATTATGAAACCAGAATAGCATCTATAATTGTTGGCGACCAATGAACAGATTCTAGGGCTTTCAAATCAATCTTATAATCAATGATTTAGAAGAAAAAAACTTGTATGCTCTGATACCATATTGATTTTGATAATAATCACCATTTAACTTCTGTATAAACTGGAAGTTAATGGTTGAAGAGAAGAGAAGAAATTGCAGAACTGAGAGAAGAGGAGAGCTCGGGTGTTTAAAAATGAGAAGATGATTTTATTGATGAATAGCAACACGGTATTTATACAAGACAAGTAAATGACAAATTTAACACTAGCTTTGTACATAATTATAATTATATCCTTGGCTATATATTCTAATACTACCTGCACTTATTCTTTACCCTAAGTTAATGTATCATTTGATTTTTTTAAATCTAAGTTTTTGTACTATTATGTGGTTTATTTAGTCATT